TATGGAATGAAATAACCAGCAAAGACAAAAGACCACTTCAAAATGTGAGTAATGACTTTCATTTGAGATAAATTTTATGTTTATTTATGCCCTAGTTAGTGGAAAGCCCCGCACCCCAATATACGCATTTAATAGCGAGAGATTTCAGCGGTTTTGCCACGGTATGCGGTATGCGGTATGCGGGGTTTAAGACGCAAGTATCAGGTAGCGAGGACCAATAGCGGGGCTTAGACGGGGTTTTCCCCATGACACTATCTTAAATAGGCATAGCATGCATGATCCCAGGGGTACGGGCGCAGAAGCTTATAAACATTGCTTCTGACGGGAAATAACTCAGGGTGAATAACTGGAATATTGTGCTGGGTTGGCATATAAGCTGGAGGTCTCATGCAACCATTGTCACTTGGAAAGGTTATAAAGTTTGGAATGCCAGTTCTGTAACTCAAGGTAGATTATTGTTCAACTTTAGGGAAAGTTCATTTAATATGACAAGGGGGGGGGGATGAAGATATTGAGGGGGGGGGCTCCGAAAATTTTTAGACACCCGAAGGGGGGGCTCTGAAAAAATTGTTGCGCTAGGAGGGGGGGCTCCGAAAATTTGTATACTTCAAAACCAACACATGACATCATCATACAGATCGGATGGTTTTCAACTCAACAATTTAATGACCTGTGCAACTCAGCTATATCACGTGGTTTACAGATATAACAAATGTAGTCTCAGTAATTATTACACTCTTGTTCATCCCAAAAATGCTTTAGAAAATTGTATCACAACTGTATCTCAAGTTTGTCATAGTGTAAACCATTGAAGACAATAACGGTAAATATATTTAATACAGTCTAGCGATCTTTTTTCAGGGGAGCAAAGGAATTGAAGGAGGAGGGGGTGGGGGCTCTGAAATTTTTTTGACTACCAAGGAGGGGGCTCCTAAAAAATTGAACCCCTAGCGAGGGGGGCTGCTAAAATTTCAAGCTTTGAGTTTCAATATCTTCATCCCCCCCCCTTGTCATATTAAATGAACTTTCCCTTACAATTTTGGCTGTGTGAGAGATGAACAGCATTGTTTATTTACAACTGTTAAAAGTTCAATTCCCCCAGGAAAAAAAATCTTGAAAATTATACAGTGAAACCTCTATTAAGCAGACACCCTCTATTGAGCAGACCCCAAGACATGTCCCGAAATTAATGTCTTATATTCCCCTTTATAACAAACCCCTATTCAGTGGACACCTCTATTAAGCGGACACCAGACTGAATTGACAATAGTAATGTTGGATTATGTCCTTGAAATACATACTTTAGTCGGGGGTATTAAAGATAAATCAATACATTCAGCTGTCAAAAAACTGTAAATGAGACCGACATCCGGCTATATGATTGTCATCCGCGATCAAAGTTCACCTTAAAGTCTTGCACAAAGTACAGCACAGCTTCCGTAGCTTCCTTATCAACATGGAACTTTATCACAGTACAGAGTAACCTTTGAATGTTAATAAACATCATAACATCGTTAACAAACGATGCGCAATTTTTAAAACCTCTATTAAATGGATACCCTCTACTACACGGACATTTGTGTAGGTCCCGAAGGTGTCCGCTTAACATGGGTTTGTATAGCAAGGAATTTGTTTCATTTTGAGGGCAGCCCTGGTCTAATGCGCCGCTATTCTCCGGGTATGGGGGTGTGGGGCTTTCCACTGACCATTGCATTAAGACTTAGCTGAAACACAACCATTCTTTGCGGAGTAAATCCACAAGGTGGCTCTTTACCTTTTTGTTAGTACTAATTTAATTGCAGCGTGCTCTTACGTACTATAGACGTGTGATAACATAAAATTGAAAGTAAAGTTTTAAAACAGGATATATTCAATACATTAAAAACGAAGCTCGAGATGGTCTTAACCACCTTTCAGACCTTTGACAGTATAGGTCCAGATACTCATCAGATAATCATATCATCGTCCATCACCTGAAGGGGCCCCAGGACAAGGGATGGGACTTTTCAAAGGCTCCGTTTGAAAGTGCTTAAATCCTCTCCTTGATGGCACAAAGCAATCAAAGTTAAGAAATTCCCTCTCCTTGAAGGGTTTCATATTGAACAACATGAAACCACAGTAAACTTGAGATGTCATTATATTGATCCAGCTTACCTGGTTACACTGTAGGTTAAATGGATCTTTTGCTCAAATAAACCTACTGAGTTTTAGACATTCCTTTGCCATCGCCTTTGTACACTGTAGTTTTGTAAGGTCCCTAATAACTTCAATCCATTTTCTAGTGTGTCATTTATATAGATCTATCTTTTTTCCTTTCCTGTTCTAATTTCTTCCTTGTAAATTACTTTGTGCTTTATCCTTTCCCCTGCCTGCCTCGATTAGCCAAGCTTCATGTATATGCGAGCAGAGGATGTTTGTATGTACATGACATGTATGTTTGAATTTAATTTTGTAACTCATGGAGATCAATAATCTTTAAACTTCAAATTTCAACTTCTTGGATTGAGGAAACAATACCTGAGATCAGCCAGTCCAGCAAGTCCGCCATTATTTCCACGATGAGGAGAGATGTGAGCCTGTGATTATTTGTGTCTATATATCCTTGATCTAAGACCACTTGAAATCAACTTAATTTAGACTTCATAAAAAGCCCCCGGTTTTCCCTGTGGTGCAAGGCTGTTGTAAACCAAGTCTTCCTCATTTTTCTCTCTTCTAGGGTAAAAATAATACTTCAAATCCTTCTAAATCCTTACCATATAAAGTATATTTGCCCAGGGTTCCCTCCCCCCAACTAGCAAGTGGTATTTTGCAGAATGCCAAGTGACCACTGAATGCTGAACAGCTCTGAAGTTTAGTGATTAGGGTTAGGAAAGTGAGTGAATCAGGTTCCATTTAGTGTCATTACACTAGGCAAACTGACCAGAAGCTTGATTCAGTCAGTTTCCTAACTGTAAGCACTAAACTTACCCCTGCCTACCAAAAATACCCCTGCTGGCCTTTGACATCTGATCAAATCTGAGATGAGTATGGTAATGGTCAGTGTCAAAAGCGGTACGGGTATTTGGGCTGACATAGCATTCACTCATTCATTCATTTTCTTTATAATTATATTTGATTATTTATTTATTTATTTATTAAATTTATTCAATATTTCTAGACAACTTCTACTCTTTTTTTCCTCTACAAGAATCCTATAGGGGTAAAATGCATCTAATTTGATATTATTCCAATATTGAACTCTTGTCAGTTTTGTCCCGTGCCTGAGCGTTTGGCTGATTACATTTAATGTTATAGTACAACATGAAAAATGTCAAAATAGACTGTAGCCAGTGAGGACACAGAAAATTGATGGTCAATCCAAAGTTTGCACCTATGTCACTACAGTCAAACCTCGTTAATAGAGGGGCCATAGCTTAATCCATCCAAATGTAAAGAGTTATGCATAGATTTCTTACAGTATAAGCCCTCCGACCTACCTCCCTTACAGATGTTGGGCAGTATTATAGAGCAGGTGCCATCTTATAAGTTGCTCGGCATCCATTTGTCGCACAATTTATCGTGGTCTATTCACTGAGACTATATTGTGAAGAGAGCACGCAAGCGTCTCTACGTTTTGCTTGTCTTAATGAAATCAGGCCTCCCACCAGCTGATCTCATTCAGGTTTATTGTAGCCTTGTGCGGCCCATTTTAGAATATGCATCTCCGGTGTGGGCCGCGTTACCCAACTGTCTGGTTCAATTGGTGGAAAGCGTGCAGAAGTCTGCACTAAGAACAATTTTTCCAGATTGCTCTTATGAGTTGGCACTCGTGCGCTGTGGCTTGCCTACACTTTTGTCGCGCCGTGATGAGGCTTGCTTTTTATATCTAACATCAAGGAGTCCGGGTTCCTTTCACACCTGCTGCCGCAGCCCACGAATGTCGCTCATGGGTACGGGTTGAGGTCGGGTTTTTCTCGTTCTGAATTCCGCTTTGTCAGAACGGACCGCCTTAGTAATTTTGTTACCCACAGTCACAATAGGATTTAATTGTTTTTGCCTTCTGTGTCATGTGTAATTATGTGTTCTGCGTATTCTTGACCTCCCTTGTAATTTAGTGTTATACACTACCAAAAGGGTTTAATAAACTGATAATGATTATGATTATGAAGTGTCCGTATTAAACGGGTTGAATTTGGAGAAAATGTTAGAGCTCTCATCCCCCCAGGGACTAAGAAAACTGTCCTTAATAGCAAGGTGTCTGTATAGCCCATTTTCGAATTCGCTATGACCGCTGAATTAAGGAAGTGGAGACGCATTTTTTACAGCCTTAGCCTCATTCTAAAGTAATATATTTACAAATTCCAACGAGAAAAAGACCTGTTTATTACTCTGTCTATTGTGTATGTTCAAATTTCAAACACTTACTTGCCAGAATTTCTGAATATTTTACTTTACGTCGAGGCTAACCCTGTATGAATGTGTCGTTAATGTTTCTATTCAGCGGTGATATTTAATTCGAAACTGGACTATTAAGCCGGTGTCCAAAAAGTGGAGTTTGACTGTACTAACTCTATTCTGCAATGAGCAACCCCACCCTTAGACCTGAGATAATCATGTATTTCCTGACATCACAGATTGATGTTAAAGATTGTTTGCCAATAAGCCTTCCTCACGTTGCCTCTTACCCTCCCCTCCCCTCCCATTCCCCTTTCCCTTCCTCACAGACAATTTTTTCCCACACAGTGAATTTCTTTTTATTAACTGTACAAAACAAACAGTGTAACAAGCTGCGTTATTGCCATGCCAATTGTACCAGTTATACACACATATAACACGCCTCTCAGCTACTGTACGTCATATCTTATTTAGACCCAAAGACATTTTATATCCTGTTTGTTACGTACAAATCACATTATTGTTGACTGCAAGCAAAGGACATGATTCCATGTAAGTCTCTCGAATGTCTTGGAATCGTTTGAGCGAAACACGGTTCAAATTGAACAGTTTGTCGTGTTGGTTCTTTCATCAGTTTTGCTCATCAACATCGAGTTATAAAACATATACATCAACTTTGAAAGGTCTTTCTTCATGACCAGTATTTTAGACTATAACAAAACAAGAGATAAATATCCAACCATCATTAAAAGACCAACATGTAAGGAATGACGAGTTACTCCGTCGGACATTTTTACCGTCTTCACAGTTGGTTCCTGCTGGCGGGAAGCATTGGTAGGCTGTGGTACTCTTGTGTTGCATAGGGTTCCTGTGCAGCAGTCAATGTCACAGCCTAGGGGCTTGCTGTTGACCGTGTAGGCTAAGACTAATTTTAAAGAATCACAGGCTTTTTTCTTGTCTACAAGAAAAGAAAAAGGAGTTACACTTGATCAATATCATCAATGACTTGCACTTAGTAGAAGAAGCGTTTTCGCTTAATGTAATTTCTCTGAATTGTAATTGAATTAGGGTCGCTAAAAAGCGGTTCAGAAACTCTCAGTTCTTAGTTCGGTCAGGCGCAGATTTTATTTAAAAATTGACAGTCACAAGTGCGCGGATGAAAGGCGTTATGTCACGCTAAAAGTTGTCTTTACGTCGGTTGAATTAAAAAAATAATTGTCCATTTTATCGCTAGTACGGTTGTGACAAAAAGCGTATTATTTTGTTTTGCTATCGACTTCTGCTATATAGGAGAGGCCGAAAACTGACCTGAAATGACCTTCTGACGTTAAAGTGGACTGTCGGAAGTTTTCCAAAGTGGACCGCAAAATTAATGCACCCTTAATTATTTAATTGGATCTTAGTGAATAAAGAGTTATCAAACTGTCTGTGTCACGTAGACAAACTGCTCAAGTGGTGTATTATTGAATGAATTGCAAATAAACAAGCTGTGAACGAGTGATCGGATTTGTGAATAAATTACAGGCAAGACGGAAGACTTCCATCATCGCTTCGCTTCGACAAAGTCTCCACTAGAAGATGCGACCGGTGCCAAGTACACCTCAAAACTAAGAAAAATCCGCCGGATTTGACTTAGACGTGACCGCGAATCACAGTAAGAAAAATATAAATTATACTTATAAGATTTACTGAAGGCTTTGCGCCAACCAAATAAAGTCTATCTGCGTAAGGAAAAAAGTCCAGGAGACTGAATTTCTAAAGAATAAAACTAAAGATGTCTAATCGCTCATCTCAGCGGCCAAAAAAGGCCAGCGCAGTTCTTGGGCAATGGTGATTGGAAGCCACGGTTGTTTTTCTACCTCTATTTCTGCAGGTCTGTGGTAAATCTAAAAGTGGACCGCACAAAATATCATGTTTTGGTTCTTGCAAAACACTAGTGCGCGTTCACCTAATCAGAAGCCCCGGGAATACTAAAAACATTTTTATATGGGGTGGCTGCGCCCTGAGGTCCAACCCCTTACCCTTTTATATACCATTTTTCACGAAAAAGGTACCCTTTTCGTATATCTTCTATTGGAAAATGGTACCCCTTTTACATACCTCGTTTAGAACTTTGCATCCCCTTTAACTGCTGTAAATGGACCGTCTTTTAAATATGAATAAATAACAAAACAAGAACGTTTTTTCAACTTTTTCACCGCCATAAAATGCATCTCTTAGCCCTTTTGTCCTTTTTACGACCGAAATGACAGATCGTCCGGATCATTGTCCACATTTCAACCTTAACACTTACTTCTCACTTAGGGCAAAATGTTGGCTTTGGGGAGGGGTAGGTGGACAAGAAGTGAAATCCCTTCCCTTTTCATATAACTGAGGACTGAAAAAGGTACCCCTTTCGGGCGGAGCTTCCCCATATAGGCCATTATCCGGATAGGGAGTACCCCCGGTATCAGAATGGAGGGAATGACGCTTTGTAAATAAGTAATTTAGATGCTTAGAGCGTTGATATTTTGCTCTTCACAGAGAGATAAATAATTTTAATAATGATCATTGTACCTGAGCAGTCGATGCATCCCCTAGCCATTACTTCTAAAATTGCAGTGCCATTGTCATATTTTCCGCTTGCCGAAAAGCAGTGAGAGTTTCCCAGAAGTGTGGGGTCATTGCAGGCGTTTTCTTTTTGTCTTTGTTGGCAATCATTCCAGCTTCTTTCAATACACTGATAACATCTAATTGCGTCTAAACATGGCAAGCAAACAAATGAGCACTTTATTGACTTTATCTTCGACGTGAAGTTTCCAGTACCAAAACAATTATATATTAACTGCAACAGATTAAGTAAAGGAAAAGGAAAAGGAACATCTGCAACTACAACAATACAGAAATAATATGGATATATTTTACGGTTTCTAAAGCTACTTGAATTTAAGGAATGGTAAGGTTGAAATTTAGAAGTTCTTAGAGGTGCTATTGTTCGTATGAACGTTTTCATCCAACACCTATATGGCCGGTAACCGGTCAAGGTCACAGTTTCAAAACACTAAATGACCGGCAGTCCTATATTCTCAGTAAATTTCACAAAATCGAAAAATTCCAGCTTTAAATTATCATATGTCATTTAAGAAAAGTCAAACGATCCTGAAATGCTTTATAAATCTCAAGTCCAGCGTTTGGTTTACGCTGGGCTCAGAAGACAAAACCATGTTTTGTGACACTTAGAACTTTTTTCAGGTCGACTGCCGGTCAAGATTGTCAAAACACCAAATGACCGGCAGTCTACCCTGCTTAGCAGAGTCGCTTCGATCTTTCCTAGATAAGTCGGGAGAGAGGAAAGCGGAAAGAGGAAAAAGGAAAGAGGAAAGAGGAAGCTGAAAAAAGTTTAAGTGTCACAAAACATGGTATCGTTTTCTGAGCCCAGCGTAAACCAAACGCTAGACTTGAGAAGTATAAAGCATTTCAGGATCGCTTGACTTTTCTTAATCGACATAAAATTGTTTGGATTGGTTGGGATTCTTAGATAAGTCAAATTTATTGAAAATACCAGACTGCCGGTCATTTAGTGTTTTGAAAACCTTGACCGGTTACCGGCCATATAGCCACAGCGCACAAAGTCAACTGAGAGATGCAAAAATAGTGCCTTCGCAACTGAAACATATTCATAAAATTGCTATTCGAGAAATTTAGGCTTTCCAAGAAGGTTTCTTTTAGATGAGGAAGTGTTCAGTGATTTTTTGACTTTCAGTAGGCAAATAATTGATTTCGAATCACTCAAACATGTCTCTCAATTCCCGTTTTCAGTGGTAAGTGGTAAGAGAAATCTACATTTTGCCGGTACCAGCCGAACTCCTGTTTCACGACGAACTCTTCTTTGACTCCCGTACAATAAGTGGGTGTTAAAAAGGATTATTGATTTTACATGTAGCGGATGTACTCTTTATTTGCATTTTATCTATCAAGTCCTTTCTCCGACATGCCCGTGACTTTCCACCTCGATGCCCTGATCTTAATCCTATCTGACTTGTGGTTTTGTCAAGATAGCTCTTGTGTCTGCTGTATCGGAAAGGCGAATCTTTATCCAGAAATCTACAGAATTAGTGCTTTGCCCTGTTTCAAACGCGTGCTACTGCCGTGCCGAACTCAGTTGATCGAATTAAATTCGAATTTAGCACCACTGTCGCACGACGTTTGAAACCAAGTCGTGCCACGCCTGTATAGCACGGCACGTTTGGCCGTTCTACACGGCAGTGGTACGACTTGGTTTCAAACGTCGGGCAACTACCGTGCTGAGCTCAATTCATATATTATAAATACATTAGAATACATTTTAAGAGTTCCCTAAACGGCTTTTTATAACTTTGATTAAAATCAAAGTTATTTTATTCGACTGAGTTAAATCGAGGTCTGAAACCCAGTCGTGCTCTATTATAGTCAGGGTGCTACAGTCGTGCTGAATTCGAGCCAGCTTAGAACATCAGTAGCACGAAGTTTGAAACAGGCCTTAGTGAGTTCCTGTAAACGTTTGTATCTGCAGATGCCTGTATTTTTAGACCATAATATGGCAGTTTTGAGCCACTTGCCGACCACGTGATCTAGCCCAACTTGCCACTGAAACAGGTGCGTTGTGAAAAAAGCCCATTCTTCCAGTAGAGAGAGCTAAATATGTGCCTTGCTTTGCAACATGACAGTTTGACCTGAGAAAATTTTTTATCGTTCTTGTTTCCAGGCGTTTGTTATAGAAGCTGGTTGGACCAATTCTCCTCGCTAATATGACTGACTGAGCAATTTATCGATTACAAGTCTAGAAACTGAATTAACTGTTGGCTTCAAAGATAAGAAAACGATTTTCCAAAAGCGGTGTCGAATTTAAGTTTGGAAAATTCCAGCGGAGAAATCAAGTGGTTTCCTTCAGAAGCCGACATATTTTTATGACATCTTTGAGAGGCCCCTGAACTTCGCTAAAGCTCGCCGAATTCGGTGAACTATACCGAAAGCCGGCGAAAAAAAACATCCGGCTTAGAATCTTTCGCAATTTAATCTGTGTTGTGGTTTCCAGCAATCCGCCTGTTTTGTGTTTTCGCGAGCACGTCTAAAAAGCTTTTTGTTATTTATTTTTTCTAAAATTACCCTATTTTGCCAACTATTTCTTCTGCCGTTCTGCAGGCCTTAGTTTACTCTGAAAGGAGCTTGCTTTCTTAAGTTTAAGGGAGGCGGTGTATGTTCTAAGACCCAACCGACGTCCAACGTCCGATCCGATGGCCGACATCGGATTACCGGAAATGCTAAGCGGATTATAGATATGGCTCCTAAAATTAACTTGGCTTGAGAAAACACTTCCTTGATACCTTCTCGCCGAGGACTCAAAGGGTTCCAGAAAGAAAAAAGAGAGAGAGAGAGAGAGAGAGAGAGAGAGAGAGAAATTCCGGAACAGCAAAGCAAAAACCAGTATTTTCTAGTAGGTCGGAAAAATGGGAAATAAAAAGCGCGAGAGTCAAAGTCATGATCAGTCATTGGTGTTTACCTTCCCACAATCTACCACTTTAAAAAATACTGGTTGGAATTTCTGTCCAAAATTGACGGAGTGAAAATAGTAAGTAAAAGGGAGCGTAGAACAAGAGGCCACCGGGCATCTTGTAATATTTTATCGCAAGAACGATCTCTCAGGAATGTTGCAAATTAGGCTAAAATAGTATTTGTCAAAAGGCTTTTAGCAATCAGCAAATGGCGTCCATTAAAACAAATCGATGTTATGAAGGTTAAGCAAAGGTCTGCTCGCTAATTGTCAAAGATAAAAGAATATTCATTTCATTCATCGTCGTACATTGTCTTTGGAATGCCTTATCGTTATCTGGCGTGAGATGCTTTAGCCGATCAAAATTCCATATTCAAACGCAAAGGAGAGTCTTTTACAAATAATAGAAGAACTAAAACAGGGAAAATATACATAAATTAAAGAAATGTAGAATGTAGAAATGTAGAATGTATGTCGTTTTAAAAGTCTTAATAAAGTGGATCATTGATTCCTACTCGGCTCGTTTTTCTGGAGACACCGATAATGGCTCATACAGCGACCGCAAACTAGGCCACAAAAGTCTGTCACGTTTTAGAACCTCATAAAGCCCTTCAATTCACCAAAGCTACGGTAACTCACCTGTCAAAATAGATGTATTTAAAAGCAACGAGGCCACCATAAACGCGAAATTCATTCTGAGACGGTGAGTATCTTGTATTATTCCACTGTCAGTGCTCTTCTCTCCGTCATCGCTCGCGATCTCAAATCTCGCGTCACCCCAGAATGTAGTTATTAAAAAGAAATTGCAACCATTCGGTGTTTTCGACGATTTAAGATAACACCAGCACTATTATCACCACAATTGTCGGCAAATTGGCCTCTATTAATTTGTCCTCCAGGGGAATTAAAATGCCCTTTAAATTTCAACGCTCCAAGGATCAAATTCATGATTTTAAATACATTCTCGGCTTATCTATCCCCAAGTCACCTGATATGTAAATATTTTTTTTGTGCGTGAATATTATTCAAGAGCTTCCTGCTTGGCTGTCTCTTTTTAGTTCTATTTTCAACCACTGGAAACTGTACAAAAATTATCAAATTCGGGACAAATTTGTACTTTTAATACGAGAAGGTATATCGCTTGCAATTGCGCTGGGTATAATGAAAACCAAAAACCGCGAATATAGCTATTCCATGACCAAAGCTGAAAGAAAAAAATAGGGTAAGACAGACCGACAGACATTTGACAAATTACAATGACTAAAGAACGACGACAGCAAAAGAAAGCAAACAGAAAAAGCGAAATTGAATAAATTCCCGAATGAATATTGCCAGGACAACGCGCGCCCGGCGCCCGCAATCTGAGAAATGTAAACGGCTTGGTGAATAACTTTTTACAAATGGTCACATTTCTATGGACTGCACTGACAGAGCAGACCCGCCTGTTGTTATAAACCAGGGAAGGTGTGCCAAAACTTAAGGTATCATATCTTGATGATCGAATCCATGGTCTTTGGGTCAGTACAGGTTTGGATTTTATTTCAGATGAAACATTAGCGTGTCCACATATTTTTACTTATTAAAGGTTAAGTATCCAAACCCTTGCATGTGCAGGAGAAACACTATCCTTATACTCAATATTGTACCGGGGTTAAGGATTCCGTCAGATGATTATCCTCGCGGCCTTCTCACTCACGGACGTGATATAAAAACTAATGAAGTTTAAATCCTTNGAGCTTCCTGCTTGGCTGTCTCTTTTTAGTTCTATTTTCAACCACTGGAAACTGTACAAAAATTATCAAATTCGGGACAAATTTGTACTTTTAATACGAGAAGGTATATCGCTTGCAATTGCGCTGGGTATAATGAAAACCAAAAACCGCGAATATAGCTATTCCATGACCAAAGCTGAAAGAAAAAAATAGGGTAAGACAGACCGACAGACATTTGACAAATTACAATGACTAAAGAACGACGACAGCAAAAGAAAGCAAACAGAAAAAGCGAAATTGAATAAATTCCCGAATGAATATTGCCAGGACAACGCGCGCCCGGCGCCCGCAATCTGAGAAATGTAAACGGCTTGGTGAATAACTTTTTACAAATGGTCACATTTCTATGGACTGCACTGACAGAGCAGACCCGCCTGTTGTGATAAACCAGGGAAGGTGTGCCAAAACTTAAGGTATCATATCTTGATGATCGAATCCATGGTCTTTGGGTCAGTACAGGTTTGGATTTTATTTCAGATGAAACATTAGCGTGTCCACATATTTTTACTTATTAAAGGTTAAGTATCCAAACCCTTGCATGTGCAGGAGAAACACTATCCTTATACTCAATATTGTACCGGGGTTAAGGATTCCGTCAGATGATTATCCTCGCGGCCTTCTCACTCACGGACGTGATATAAAAACTAATGAAGTTTAAATCCTTGTAATCCTGCAATTAATGTGTGTGTAATCATTTGATCCAATTTAGGTGTATACCGATTTGACGATGAGGTCAGTTCCATGTATATGCGGGTGGTGGGGATCTACATCGCATCAGGCTCAAAGTTTGTCGGGGCAAAGTCGAGACAAGCAATATGAAAACTGCCCATCGAAAAAAGAGAAAGAAAGAAAAGGAAAGAAAAAAAGAATGAAATGGACATGACCTTGGGAGAGACGGGTGGCATGACAATGCTGAACAGAAGGTGGCTGTGGTGTAGTTGATGATGTAACCAATCGAAGACAGTTTCTGCGTAACGGAAGGCTGCGTTTCTTACTAGGTAGGTCTCCGCTAAAAAAAGAGGATACTTGGGGACTTCGGCTAGGGCTTTCCACAAGTTGCTCGAGATTTTCCAAAACGTTTCCCGTAATTTCTCAAAACGTTCCCCAAATTAAAAAACAATCAAAAGTGGCTTTTTGTAAGTAACGAGAGTTGCTCAAAAGTTGCTCGAAAAAAGCAAAAACTTGTTTTGGTCTGATGCTAAAATTTGCAAATTGCAAATTGTACAACTTACAAAAGTGAGATTTCTAAGCATTTTTGTGCAATTTTGCGGCGTAACCAGCGTTGCTAAGTAACTTTGTCCTCAATTAAAACCAAAAAATGTAATGAGCCAATAAAATTAATGAATGACTTTCCTCACCAGAGACACTCAAGTCAGTCGAGTGTGAATCTTCGCCCACTATTTTGAATTTACTCTAAAAACCCCTCACCTATTGTAGCAGCCCGGCTACTTTTATCTTGCGCCCATGATATGCCCCAGGGGGAAGGATTTGGGTCATTTTTTAGACCTTCTTACAGGAAATTCATAAATTGTCTACTAAAATATTGTGAAATATGAAGGAAAGCAACCTAGAGAACCCGGGAACGAGGCTGGAAGGAAAGGCCCCAATTTAAGCACTAAAAGCTGCTCCGATATCTCAGAATTAGAGGATATCGAGAGAAATTGTTCAGAATGCAAAAAGTTGCTCGAAGCGAAAAAATTGCTCGAAATACAAGAAGTTGCCAAAAAGTTGCCGAGCAACTTGTGGAAAGCCCAAACTTCGGCAAATTCTAAATCACAGCTGCAGAAATTTGTACCAAATTAACGAGTAATTTATGGATCAATTTAGGTTTCCGGGAAACTGCCCACCTACTCCTCCCCTAAGCCAATATTTTGCCCTGAATGAGAAGTGGAATGGCTTAAAGGAGTGGTAGGTGGGCAGTTTCCCAGAAACCTAATCACTCGGCAAGAGAGCAGCTTCGCAAAGTTATTGGAACCGAAGAATCTTTTCACATAAAAGGTCCTCAAGTCCCAAAGGATTGGTTTGGGACACCAACATGGCCTTTGTTCCATTGTTTTAGAATACCAAAAAGTGGCAGACGTGGCGTCATGTGACAGCAATCCATATAATCATAATCAATTCAGTCAGAGTCTGAAGTAAACCAAATCTTTTGTTCTTTATATCATGATCAACAACAAGCTTATTAGTGCATCCTCCCATGATTCTTGACGACTAAAAACCAAATGTAGCTCAAGTTCGAAATATGAGCATCGGCGCGCATTGGCATTGTTGCGTAACATTCGAAATATAAAGATTTGTATGGGGGAAAAACCTATCGTTTCTGTAACCTACGAAAATGAAAGGATTTCAATAAAAAACAGCTTAACTTACATAAAATGTGTATTACGTCTCTCCTGTGTGGTCCATGGGCCCAAGCTCAGTGTTGGAGTTTAACCATTAATACCAACTTCGTTCCAAGGGTTCTCTCCTACCCGTCCCTACGGAGTGAGAGAGAGAGAGAGAGACGGGTAGGAGAGAGAACCTGGGCACGAGGTTTCATTAATACATGTGGTTTCAGATTGCGTAATCCTTAAGATGGCCGTGAACATAAAGGATTTGTATGGAAATTCAGGTAAAAGATTCAAGAATATAAATACTCGCTAGAATTTTCAATAAAATATACCATAACTAATTTACTTTACTTGTTTTTGCTTGCTGTGTGGTTATTTTCCCGATCCATTGCGATTTAAGCGATTTCCTTTAACCCCGAGTGTATTTTATTGAAAATGCTAGGGAAATTTTAAAGGTCTTTAAAGGAACTTGTGACAATAAAGGAGAACTCTAGATACAATCTACGGTCGAAAACAAAAACGGACTTCCTCTTGAATTACCATATCTATTAAGGCAAAAAAAGACACTATATTCATATAGATATTTGCGCGCTATAAATTTTTAAATTATTTTATTGTTATTATTATTATTACAGCTCATCAAACGTAACATAACATTGTAATCTGGGTACTAAATACACGTCTCTGTGAATAAGGTTTTGGAATTGTTGATGATGTGCTTGATTGTAGAGACGCTTACCTTACACAAGACATTATTTTAAAATTTGTTGTTTAGGCGTGAACTCCTCAGAACATCTAAACTCTTTTTTAACATATTCCGTGTTACCGTTGTTGTGAACAATAAATTGTAAAGAAAGTATTAAAGTTTGCCGTCTACATCAACTTCAGCCGCATTGTGGGCTTAATTTAAGAAACCCTCTATTAAGCGGTCTTCTGGCTAATTTCCGAGGGTGACTGTTTAATAGAGGTTTGACTGTATTACCAAGACAACGCAGTGCTTATGGAATAATCATTCGTAAATCCTGAGTCAATAAACCGCACAATAAGGAATCTTTTTTACATAAATGCATAAACGTTTTTGTGACAAAAATCTTTGGGCACTAAAGTCGCTTTGGGCAACGTCTTTCCGACATGTCAGACCTTAAATTAGTGTCGAATGTTACTTAGTGAATTTGGATTGTATAGTTCAGTCGCCTTGAGAGTCTAAAACAGGAACCGGCGATCTTTTCTGGAGGAACTGAAGCTTAATAGCTCTCCATCGGCAACATAACAAAACGACGTTCATTCAGCAGTATGCAGATGACTTTGATTCACCTTTTTGTTGAATATCAGTTTGCAGGTTAGTTTAAATTCATTCTTTGGCTTTTTAGTTTAAGAATTTGTTTTGCAGCAGTTAGCTACGTACTAGAAACAAAGTACTTTTGGCCCACACGGGGCTGAGGAAACGGGGACAAAGTACTGCAATCACAGCAACCTTGACTGACAGGCTCAATTATAAATATAATATTTTTATAGCAATGAAACACTACAAAGCTTTTTTCTTTAACTTGAACTCTACCAACCTCTAGCCCCCCCAAAAATGTGTTAACGATATCTTGAATTTTCAAGAGCAATTTTCGTATTCAATCTCGAAAGGTGAGGATTGACTAAGTGTCAATTTATACAGCTGTTATGGCCAACTAATAATGAAGTTCTCTCTTTATGTATAATGGACAAGAAGCAATCTAACTTCTTTCATGTACAAGTCATTAACCTCGCAAACTAAAATGTATGAACGTTTTATAATGGAACTTTATTTAAATCAAATATTCTCCTCTGGCATAATACCGTAGAGGTTTTGACTGTTAACTATTTGAAATCCTTTGAGAATTATACTTACTTAGGCCGGGAATCATCCCTAACCTGATGGAGTATTGTACAGTATCATCTCTTATTCTTTACTATTGTTCAGTCCAGTGTTGGCCTTGATGGTGTCAATGTATAGTTTTTGGTCTGCTTCGATTGAGGCACCATGTTGGGGCTCTCAAAACAGCACTTTTGAAGCACTTTCTCCATTGTGATGAGCACAAAGGCCGGCTAATCGTAATCTTCTTGCACGAATTGTTTCACTGACTCAGCGTCCTTGAGGGGCTTCCGTATAGTTCCTGGTAGTTCATAATGTTGTTGCCAGGGCACAGTCACGGCCGTTGGTAGCGCTCTTGTGTACTATTGACACTTCTCTACAGCTTCTTGGTCAGAGTCCACGTTTTACTTTCATAGAGTTAGACAGATTCTGCAGTTTCTCAAAACTGTCTGATTTTAGTTTTTCGTAATAGCTTTGAGGTCCATATTTTAATCATTTCCACTTACGCTCTATTCAACCTGAAGCCTTAGTGACGTCATGTTGTTAGTCACTATTCCACCAACCCAGATAATTAAAGTTCTCAAAAAGTTCAATTATTTCATCGTCTCCTGTTTTGAGCCCAGCATCAACATAATTTTTTAAGAAAATATGTATAACTATCCCCGGCAATTGTCAGAAAACCAACCTTGGCCGACGCTTCTTAGTCTCCTTGTACATTTCCGAGTAGCTCATTTCCGACTCTTTTTGTAACTGATCACTAGAACGAGCGATTTCGTCTACAAAGTTACGTCAGTGACTTTTTCGAACTTGTTTGGCTTGCTTGTTTGTCCAAGACTTTTCTCGTGACCCTTAATAGCCTCTCGCAGTACATGGGTCCAAAACTATTATCAACAAGTGAAGGGCAAGAGTGTCTCCTTGTAGCACGCCTGTGGTGATTTTGAAGAGTTCGGTTTCACCGTCAGGGGAAAACACATTTGCTCGTTTTTCCTCGCAATTTTACCCATTACGCCCACCAGTGCATTTGTGTTGGAATGCCATATGCCTTGAGCGTCTTTCTTCAGTTGATAGAATCGAGGGCTTTTCTAACGTCGATGAATGTGATTAATGCCCCACAAATTTCTGGCTCTGATCCTTTCTTTAGTTCTTCATAGCGCCAGCGGACCAAGAGAACCTACCAACTGGTTGAACCAGCAGCCGATCACCCTTTGCTAGTTATCGGCTTCCGCCTGAACCCATTCTGGTTTGTTCGGAGCAATGTGTGAACTGGGTTTGAGAATAAGAGAAATTTTAATTTAAAAAATTTTAAGTTTAAAACCTTGTCGAGATTAACATCGGCACAGTTAACGAGGGGCAAATCCTCGCGAGTCATGATCAACTTAAGTCGGTTTTATAGCATGGATACTCACGTTGTCTGAATTTTGCTCTTAAAGAACAGCGGAGGAAATCGCGATGACGAGTGAACTTTTTGTAGAGGGCAGGAGGCAAACATTGCTTTATTCTTGCAAGAGACAAGAATAAGAAAGATCAGAAAAATCTTCGAAGAAAACTCAGTCGATTATTTCCCGGTGCAGGGCGGTCACAAGCAGCGAACCTTGAAGCACAGAAACAAGTAACAAAGTGGATCGAAATGCACCAATCACAAGTAAACTTGTGTTTCCTAAGAGGTCCGCAACGATGATTGAGGGAACAGAAAAACCCAAAATTCCTTCGAAGTTTCCAAAACGCGCAGCGGGATACAACGAATTTGGCTATAAAGATCATGTTATAGAAGAATGTGAGGGTAGTCAGTCTCTCCAGTGAAAGAATTTTGAGCAGGCTAGAGTCATTCTCAGTTTTGTTTTTGTTGGCCAAGCTGGGCGAGATCGTTGCATCCAGCCTAGTTCCCAGGCGTTTTCGGCTCGGTCATTTCTGGAGTCTACCATGAGCTGTGACGTCACCGAGAGATACTCGCCGAGAACGCGTTCTCACGCCCGCTCTCTCCCAGACTTCGCGCGGACAATGGATCAAGAAGAAACGCCTAGGAACTAGGTTGCGTTGCATCGTGATTTGCATTAACTCCGCCCCTACTCAAATGATTGACGGAACGGAAAAACCCATTCGAAGTTTGCAAACGCGCAGCGCGATACAACGAATTTGGTTATGACAGTTGAAATTTTTGTCTTCAAACGCGAGGCTTCCGCCTTAAGCAATGTTTGTACTTCAGTTGATGTGGCTTGCAATTGTAATGATCTGACAAAAACCTTCCAGCAAATGCTGATTTTTTTAAAAAATGAATAGGTAAAATTGACACCCCATCTTCGTTGTTTGTTTTTTACTTACACTGTTAACTGTCAATTTCTTTCTTAAATGAACCTTTTTTGTGAAAACAGAGTTGCTGTCAGCCTTCCCTTTGAAGCCGTTTTAAAATTCGAGCAGTACTCCCTTCCAAATTCAGTGTGTTGTTCCTGCTGAAGTTTGACGACCCATCACGTAGCAACGAAGGCTGGAAATTGTCGAGGGGTCCGTTGCAGCAATTATACCTTATTTACCAACTTTAACGAAAGTTAGAAAACTCTTTCAGCTTTTCCCCTGGGGGGCTCAAGTTAGCCGTGGAGTTTGCTCAGAAAACTTCGTCTGGTAATTTTTGGACAGTTCCCAGGCGGTGTCGCGTCACGACTGACAAAGGTTCATGGGTAAAACTGTTTATGTGCCTCATTTCAATCGTGACACGGTCGAGTTCGCATCTCGTGAGAGAGATGGATCAAAACCCGGGATAAAAATACTGCTTCCTTTTCTGAAAAACATTACGGAGGAGAGCGATTTGGAGAATTTTCAAGATCTCATACTGGCCTTACATGCTTGCTATTGGCTTCATAAGGTAATTTCAATAGGTTTATCGCGATTCGGAGACGATCGAAGGTGCGATTTTAGCCAATTTTTGGCGGTGATTTCCTGCTTCTCAGAAGATTTTAGGTACTGTTTAGTGCTATGCTTATATGTATATTTTTATGTCACAAGAGTGAAAGAGATCTTTAGCTCATAGCTGGATTTGCTTAAATAAAAAATTTGTCCATTTAATAGTAACTTTTGATTGACTTTATTAACCGGGCAAGGAGGAAAGAGCAAGGTGAGAAATCTTGCATCGTCTCTCTTAACAATTTTATTTTCATCGACAAATTCATATTATTTTGCAAACAATGACTGTTTTTAATCCATATAAGCAAATAAATCTTCTATAGGCGAGAGAAAAACAGACGAAAAGTAGCACCCGAACAGCTACAGCAAAATAGGAATTTCACCGAATCTACGGCCGCGGAACAATCTTGTCTGTACGTTCATTGAAGTGAGCGCAGTGTAGCGCTGTTTTAAAATCTTGATGATGATGTTGTCTAGATCTTCGATAATGGTTTTATGTTTTGGTTGAGATTTATTTCCTCGCGTAAATTTACATACGTAAATTTGCAGTCATGAGGATTTGCATACACATAGCACACATTGCATGCAAATTATTTTAAAGACACGTCGTCAGTTTCCACTGGGTTATGAAAAATGTTTTGTTTCCAAAGGTTATTCAAACTTATTTACCTTTTCTGGTTTAAAATGAAACAAACTCTTCCTGGATTTTGTGTTACTCGTTTCACGTCGGCTTTCGCTTCGGTAAGTGTCTCAGCCCGTTTCCCGGGACTTGTGCTACTTGGCTGAGACAATCTGTTTATTCCAAGACACTCTCAACGCCTCATAACGGGGAACTAACAGCCGTAGACCCGGGTAGACCCCAAAATTTACATAGAAGAAAGGCTGAAGTAACAAGCTGACCGAAATAATCCGATAAAACCGCTAACAGTAACCAGCAATGAATCCAAGAAGAACGGCGAAAATAACACTCAAATCATCATTGCGGCTTGCACATGACCGAGCAATTCAAACTTGTCAAAAACGCTCAAGAAAGCAAAATATTTAAAAATTAAGCAACTACTATCAAGATAAAGTGTTCCAACAACTTTCTACGGCGGTAAATTGACGAAGTTACCTACACTAGCTTAGAATAAAGCGAAATTTCACCTCTTAAAACGGCTCTTTCCAAGCGCCAAAATCGCTCAACAAATGACGCATTCTGATTGGTCGAATCTCGTGACGCACACCGCCTGGACAGTTCCTAAATTCTCTGGCTCCACTGGCCCTCTGTATGGCAACAGAGTAAGCCAACCGTCGGTACAGTATATACTTCTCTTTGAGAGACGAGAAAGTTTCAAGATTTGTTCCAATTTACACATCTTCTGTCTGTATCAGCTTGTTTTTTAAAACTAGGACGACCTGGGATACTACAGCCTTTCCGCGATTGGTCAAAAAACCTTGCTCATAAACAACATCCAGCCTTTCTGTTGCCTGTCTGGTCCCATCTGGGAGGTGGGACGTAAATCACTATACGACTTCTGCCTCGAAATTTACACCTTTTCTCCCCTCGTTTAGATTGTTCAAAGTCCTTCTATTTTCTATTTACTTTCATCGTCGTGCGCGCGTATGAAAGTCAAGACTGCGGAGGATATATGGACAGCTAGTTGGTTAAACAAACAAACGAAAACTAGGATTTCAGGGGACAGGTTACCATTACTTGACCTCATTTAAGGGATTCCGGATTCCGAGGAAATTTTGCTTGCAGAACTGATCCGGATCTTGGGTTTTGGAATCCGGAATACAGCTCAAGGAATCTTAACGATTGGAATCCAGAATCCAAGACTGTCTTGGATTCACTTACAAGGGGCGAATCAGTTGTTTTGCGTAAATTTCNGAGGAAATTTTGCTTGCAGAACTGATCCGGATCTTGGGTTTTGGAATCCGGAATACAGCTCAAGGAATCTTAACGATTGGAATCCAGAATCCAAGACTGTCTTGGATTCACTTACAAGGGGCGAATCAGTTGTTTTGCGTAAATTTCACCTAATGTGTTTTTTTCTTTTCTTCTTGTTTACCCATGCAGGTCTTTTGAAAGCCACACACAGTTGACGGTGTAGGTTTCTTTGAATAACGTGGAGCATTATGAAGTTCACAGCAGCCTTCAAAGCATTGGTATTGTTATTTGTCATGATAGCCATTATAGTGTGGCTAAAAATAAACTTCAATACGCCAGGACGTTATACAGGAAACAATCCCTTTGGCCCAATGCCGAAATGCAACAATTCAAAAGAGGAAATAGACCGCATTGTGCAATTAACGTACAAAGTGCATGCCGTCTTGGAAAGTATGGGCATCGATTGCTGGTTGATGTATGGTTCGTTGTGGGGGCCTTTGCGAGGTATTGAGGGTCCCCTCCCATGGGACGACGACGTCGATCTTGCAATAAAAGGTGACGAAAACTTTAGCCAACTGAAATTTGAAGAATTTGAGGCCAAATTTACGAATGCCGGTCTGCTGATAGAAAATAGATTGCGTCTTCATTCTAGAGTAACTGTTTCTGAAAAAGGCGTGTGGCCATTTCTGGATCTATTTGTGTTTTATGATTATAAGGGAATGATGAAGAGGCCTGGAATTGAGCCATGGATTGAGCCAATCCATTTTCAACTATACCACTCCTTTCCTTCAAGATTGATAGAAAGACCGCTGCCCAAAGTAAAGTTCGGCTTTTTTTCTATTTCTGTTCCGAGAAATGGGATTGAAATAATGAAACATTTGTATCCAAAAAGCTGGTGGAAAGTGGAAAAGCCAGTAAACTGCAAGTAAGCACTGGAAGTTTATTATGTGATGCAAGCCTTTAGTAAAGTTACTAAAAAAATGACGTAAGCTCATGATCATCAAAGACTTTGAGTTTTAAGAAGTGGACATAACATGTTAATGCTCAGCCTTTGGAAATAATAATTGGATATGAATATTGGATGTTTTGCTTTCTTCTGTTCTCCCGTGTCTTTGCATAAATTCGATATATATTGCTTTTTATTTAAGGGATACAAGAGTTTTCTCTTTGCTAGTTTTTTCTTTTGGCCTAACTTTATCTGTTTGCAAAAATCGAACGGATGTAATAATTGACTGAGGTAGACTGAGATCGTGTTCGCGTTTTTTCTACCAATGTGTCAAGAAGTAACTTCAGTGTTAATCACTTTCTTCCATTTTATTATTTTCGTGAGCTTATAAAAGTTTGATGAATACATCACGTTGGCAAAAGTTTGTAGACATGAATATCTTAAGTATGTTTTAATACAGTTTATCGGAGACCAAACCGGTTTTTTTTGATCGACTCAAAAGCGATTTTATCCTTATCCGATTGCCAAGAAATTTTCACCACTAACAGACCTTGGATTGAAGTTTGTTAAATGAAAATCAAGTTTTTAGTAAAATCGATATTACCATGATAACGATAAACAAAAATCTTTGAAATCAGCTAAAGACGAATTTTCCGACATTAGACATACCATTAAAATCCAACATCAGGAACTTACAGTGTAGTGTTTAGCAAAAATCCCTGTGAGATTAAAAGAATTCTGCATGTTTGAATTTCAAACGTTGTACTTTTAACAGTCATGATAAATAAACGAATAAACTATTTCCACATTACTGTAAAGTATCACATTGTTGCTTGATATCATATTTCTATGCTAGGGAAATTTTGGTGTATTTCCTTTTTTGCTATCTTGGAAACTAACTTTCTTTCTGGAACTTGTCAGTATAGTTCATAAAACTATGATAATAGATGTATTGTATCATGGATTCTAATCAGGCGGTGCGTCGTAGTTTGCAAAGCTATTAAACACCAAGAAGAGTGCACACCCTGCTAACAATCCCCGGATGCAAGTTATTTCCCACCACCCAGCCATCAACTCAAGAAGACTGTTTCATATTTGGAATTTTAGTGAGGTGGGAAAAGAGATTGGGGATGGAAGGTGAACTTTTTTTGTTCCCTTTTTCTCATAATTTTTCTTCCCCAACAACACTTGCTTGATAAGGGTTTCTTCTCCAAAAGCCGAGAATGAACTTTTTAATAATTTAAGCACCTCTCCCCCATAATCGAAATGTATTTACAATAAGTTTTGCGGAATTCATATGTTGGGTGTTGTATTGTTTTTAATTGAGCGAGGCACGCTTGGCGGTTTGTTTATAGCGACAGCGCGGCTTGAAGCTGGATACTGCAGTTGCTGGACTTTTTGTGCTGATACAAGTCGCTGGCATGATGGTATTCCGCTGTTTATTCCTAGTGATTTGTGCTTGCATTACATTAGCGATGGGTAAGTACGTACACATTCTGTATTAATAAATCACTAACCGTTTTATTTATTTCATTTGTCCCCAAAGTGCATATCATTTATACCCGTTCAAGCATTCAGTATGTCTACGTTTTAGAAACCAGCGCAAAAAAGAATTCTTTAAGAATTTCTAGGCAGCAGCTAACCTTTCTAACAAACAATCGATTCGCTGCAGTCATCTGGTTTTTGATAGGACCGACGTTGAAAAGAAAAATGTCCAATTTTGGGGGAATTACTTATAGACACCGAACCATCATCTACTATCATTTAACTGTCATAACTATCATCCCGTCTATAACTGATGTTCATATTTCAAAGTTCTCAAACAAAAAGATCATGATCAAGGAGAGGGATATATATAGAAAGAAGGGGATTAGTAAGCTCTATACAGGATAAGAGTGGTTTCGCTGCACTGGTCGACCGTGTACTCGCCGGTGCAACTCCATGGTAACAGGTTTTACCGACTGGAGGATTTTAACTTTTTAACCTTTTCTGCTCTCTTCTCATGTGCTGAGACTATACTTAATAATTTGGAATCGTTTCTTCCCTCTCTTGAGGTCAAAACGGCTCGTTTACAGGCTGCGTGCAAGTTCTTGCTTCCCGGCTGAAAAGTAATTACGAACGTGATAATTATGATGATGTTTCTTTAGCCTTGCGCAAAAATTGTCAACATCTTCAAAGTAGAGAATATTGGTTTCTCAACAAGAGAGGACAATTCATATACCGGTGAAAGAGTTTGTGAGAGTTAGCCTCTATAATCCCTATATCTTCTCAGTCTTTTGTTTTTAATGTGTGTTAAGACGCAAATTTATACAAAGCACTCTCGATTAATTTTTTTTAAAACTGGGCCACCTGCCTGACGGAAAGCAATTAAATTCTGATAGTGCCGGCTTGCTTCAGCATCCACCCCAGCAGGACTTGGGACCTTTTTCTTAATATTTGCTAAATAGAAAAAAATCCTGATTATATATTAGTCGTTACAAAGCTTTGAACCACTTTTAAGAGACTTCAACGTATTAATATCTTAAAGGCGTCACGCAATTTTGGCAAATTTGTAGTATAACCAAATTTAGTATGCTCTAGGGAATACAAATGTTTCCGTTTTTGAGTACACTTTTTGGGTAACATTCAACATATTTTCCGCGATGGTCACTAACTTTTAGTTTTCGTTTTAAAATATGCTAGAATTTTAGGCAGTTTTAAACAAATTTTCCTTATCTTTTATCAAACATATAGCAAGGCATATTTAGTGCAGGTGAAAGAAATTGAACTTTATAAAACATTTTTAATGTACTGTGGACAGTCTTTAACGAGGTACTTTTGAACCCTTCGACGACTGCTTTGGTCGTTTTCGTTTCATATGGAACGATGCATATTTTCCTTCCTAGACTCATTTAGGTTTCAGTTTAAGTTAATAAATTCATTAGTAAACAACAACGTTAGCAAAGATAGATCTTTTCTAGCGATAGCTCTCGTTTCGGATAGTCTGACCAATCCTAACAGAGTTACACTTACAAAAAAGGTAACTTTTTGGGAAAAACCCACTGCTAATTTCGCTGTTTAACTCTTTGAAGATTAAATTTTTCCCTTTCCTAAAAGGTTGGCCAGCCACAATTCCATGCAAAAGAAAGACGACAAAGTGGAAAACAAAACTGCTAATGTAGCGAAATATATTGCCAAAATCCAAATTTTGGCTTGTGTACATGCGCGACAAAAAAGGTGAATAGTTACGTCCAATTAGTCGGAAAATATGCACTTTTTGTTGCAAAACTCATTTAAAGCATTCTTATGCTAATTAGCCGAAAACCAGTTCAAAGAAGAGGAATTGCTGAAAAATGTGTTGTTTTTGCTTCGCCCACTGGCTATGCTATGCACCCTGTGTGGCTAATTTTTCACTCTAGGGCTTTCAGATTTTTCTTATTGCCATAGTAATAACAATAATGTCTGAGTATATATCATGATTCTCACATGCACAGGTGACCCGGCCACATGTAACCACTGCTTAGAAAATGACTTAGCAACTTGCGATTCCAATCAACAACAAATAAGCTGCTCTAACGACACCTTTCCGAACCTTGGTACCACCCATTGCTACACAGCTGCAGCGAGATACTTGGAAGGAGGAAACATAAGTTCAGGAGTCGCAAGAGGCTGTGGAAACTGCACTGGTTAGTGCCAATATTTACGCCCGATATTTAACCATAAACAACACATTTTTTTAAAAAAGAAAGATGAAAAACTCTTCAGCAGCTCTCGGCGATGATGTATTGTTTTCCAGCACCAATGTATTTTGCACAATGAAATTACAGCCAATTATTTCCCATTTCATGCTCTCTGTGTCCCTCACATTCTTTGTTTCTAATAATTAACTTGACATATTCAATACACGGTCAATGAGTAAAAACGTTGAATAGGCGTAAAATCCGTTTTAATAACGGCCTTCAACTTTTTTTTTACAGGAAACACTGGCCTACAGTTTAAAACGGCCTTCGACCAGTTCTTTAGTAATGAGACCGTGGACCTCAGTTCATTTGACATTCAGTGTTGTCAAGCTAACGGCTGCAATAACCAGAGTGTTGTTCCTCTGCCTTCTCCCACAGTTGCTCCGTCAGCTTCCACCAACCCCACCGTAAAGCTGACGAGTAGCACCAACATCACCCCTAGCAGCCACGCCTGCCGATTTTACCCCTTCACCGGAATACTTGCCTCTGTATTCATTGCCCTGAATGTGTCTTTGAAAAATCTGTAGATGTAGAGAGTAAACGTTTTGTGGACCGTTTCTGGCCTTGAGCTGGGCAGGAAAAACAATAGTCATAGATAGCCAGTAGCTGTCAATAGTGATGTCTGTTTTCTGACAGGGACAAAGGAAGCTATAAATGCGCCATGCCATGAGGATATTACTGTTTTAGGTCAATTGAAAGCTAAGGTCATTACTTAGTGCTTTTACCAATACACACAATGCTTTTGTAGAGTTATGAAGAAGATATCAAACGAACTTATTCTTTTTAGACATATTAAATTCTGCAAGCAGAATACTGCAATGCTGATCGTCCTACGTGAAAGTTAACTCTGCAAGACAGCAACACGACACCGAAAGAACTTAAAACAGAGCGGGATTGTAGCCATAGATAGCTGTTTCGCCCTCTTTGGGGCTCGTCAGTATGGCGTAATAACCAGAAAAAGCTCTGGTGAAAAACATCCGCGCACTCTGATTTAAGCTCTGACCCAGAACTCTCAACACCCACAGAATCACGCTATATCACGTGTCTTCTGGGGGGCAAGAGTCCCAGTGTCAAGTTGATGTCTCGCAGAGAAAATAAAGAGTTGGCCAAAACCAACCTATAACACATGGACAAAACCATACAAAATTTACGGCATATCACATCATATCATTTTTGGTTATTGTTCTTACTTTCCTTGCATGATGACTTGTTCAGGCATATCATTAAAACTTGAAAAAGTTCGCCCAAATTGCTCAAGTTTTAATCCATTTCCATCCTTGCCATCCTTTGCGAAAGACGACAGAAATCAGTTTCACTGCCTAAATATAGTCTTGTATAAAGAAACTGGACCATTATTTTTAAATTTCAATTGATAGCAAATGGCGTGACATAAACCCTTTAACAAAACCGTTTATTAGTCTGCAACGCGTTTTTCTTCATATTTTGGACACAAATAGGGGACCATTGTGCCAGGAGTTCCTAGCGGTGACCGTGGAAACTGGGACTAAGAATCGTTGCGAAACGAGAGCTCTTCCGAAACGTGTCGATCCACGAATTTTATCGCTTGAAAGCGTTGATTACTTTGGAACAAGTGAACACTGCTGAGCAGTCGAATTAGCAAAACTGCGATGCTCGGGTGTTGTGAACTTTCAATGTATGCAAACAAGTCTTGTGATGAGCATGCGGTTTTTTTTTCCGGTGATGACTGAAATGACGTGCCATGTAAATCACTTTTTTGATCTCTGGCAATGATGTAGTTTCTCTTGAATCGAAGCCGTTGAATTTTCGTGTATTTATACACGCGTATAGCCTGCGACCGCAGACGGATTTCCGGTCGTTAGTATAACGCGTACTAAATCACAAAAAGTATCGACGTCGATAAAGTAGGAAGTAAAAAACCTTTAGCGAGTAAACCCTGTTTTGTGTAGAATTAATCGCCTCCTCATTTCTCGATCTAATCTCCAAGCAGGCGACACTGACGGCGGCTGTAAGTGCGTTCTTGTCTACTTTTAAACCAGTGTTTATACAGTTGAGGTTAGTAGCTTCTTTTAGTATATTTTCTTTCTTTGTATGCTGAATATATAGTGCATGATACTACTTCCCAACTCAAGATTTCGGTAAGCCATCGTATTTAATGCTGTTCAACTGACCCTGAGAAGAGTCTGAGTTAATATCGAGTTTTTCTTCTGAGTAAGACTAATACAAGGCCTTATAATTACCTACCTCATAGGGTAGATATCGCAGTTTTCAACCATACGGTTCTTTCGAGAACTTCATAATGGAGTTGGCAACCGGCAGAAAGGTCACCTTTCATGCCAGCCCCTAACTGTCAGGGGAGACCCCTTTGCCACCCCTCAAAATATGGCTGAATTGCACTTCATCATTCATTAGCCAACGCAACGGTCGCTGTTTAAAGAAGTATGCATATTTCGTGGGATTGATTAAGTATAGGAACAATTTGGAGAAGTTGTCTCTAAGAAGTATAGAAATTAAAAAGGGTAATGTTCACTTTTCCCCCTCTCCCAGCTCTTGAATCCCAGCGCACATGATTGTATTGCACATATTCGAGAAAACCGCAACGTTTCAAAGAACATGTAGGCCCATGTGACCATGCATATTTATCGTGCAATAGTTTTGTGGTAGACTACAAGGGTCGTTTGTTTAACTCCGAAATTTATGAGACTACTCAGAATCTATTTTTTATTATTTTTATTTTTTCGGTTACAACGTTTGAAAACGCAGGAACTTACAACGTTATGAGTTTTGTACGTTAACTCGTGGAATCCCTCAAGAATCCATTCTAGCCCCACTGCGGTTTATTTTTTCCTTAGTATCAATTGTACTCGAGACCAATGGATGCCGACGATACCACGTGCAATAACATTCACTGAATTAGTTCAGTCAAACAGCTGTACTTGCACTGAAACGAGGTCTTTGGACTAGATGTTTCCTGTATGTTTTCTTGAGTTCTTTTCGAATGTCTCGTTTGAAGAGAGCGTACGCGATCGGATTTGCAGCAGAATTTACTGGTATAAGGAAACTAATAACTTCCACAACTTCTTTTGATGGAGGAGACGAAAAAACTAGAAAACCAACAACACTGTACAGTTCAACGGAGTAGCAGGCAAGAAAAATCACAACTACAATAACGATTACTTTAGCTGCGGCATAGTCTTTCGTTCTTTGGCGATTAGGCTCATTATATTGTAACTGGGAGTTGAGAAGAGCATTTTTACGCCAATGTCTTCTTGCAGTTATTATGATTTGTGTCGTAGTTATAAGCAAGAACAGACAGGGAAGAATCTCGAAGAAAATCATCTTGGTCGATACGAGAGCTTTGCTTTCTAAGTTGCACTTTCCCAGGCGGGTGCATAAAGCTGGAATGTAGTCGAGAATTAATGGTATGAGCCACGCAAGAGCTATAATGATTGTGGCTCGATGAGTAGTCATCCATGCTACGTACCTCAAAGGTTCCATGATAGCTATGTAACGGTCAGTTGTCATAGCGCATAAATTCGTTACTGATGAAAAAATCGCCAGCACAGCTATATCTTGAGCTATTTCGTTATTGCAAAGGGAACGTTCACCACACAAAAAATTTGTGGGAAAATAGATGAAACCAACGGCAAAGTCAGCCAAAGCCAGGGACGTGATAAACCAGTTAGGCCGTGTGTGTAGTCGCGGCCGGGAAACAATTAAAAACACAACCAGGGCATTTCCAAAGACTGCAACAACGCTTGGAAACCAACCAAGGATGTAAAACCAAGACATCGTACTGAATGAAGATCTTCACAGCTGTCTTTTGACAGTTGATTTGAAAGCGACGCATGAGAATTGTGGATTTCTCGAAAGTGATCCCGTGACGTGGTCAGCTATCTTTAATTCAAATTAGGTGGAAACTGAAAAAGAACGAGAAACTTATTAACCGCCTTCAAGTTATTTTCAGTTAGAACTAACCGCTTTCACGATAAAGAACCTAACATCTGCTCATATGCAATTAGTCCCACAAAATTGAATGTTACAGTTTGCTCAGTGTTGGTGAGTTTAATTAGAGAGCTTTGTTTGGCCTCCACAGGCAGTTTTCAAGAGTCAAGTCTATAACAATCAAGATGCTCAATAGAGAGGACATGTCCTGTTGCAAGAGTAACATGAATGGATTGTAGATTTATACAGTTGTTTTTTTTTTATTGGTTGTTACTTAAGCACTTGTCGCGAAGAATATCCGGTTTCCAGTCGATGCTACCTCGCAAGTTGCCCTCTCTCTACCCCAAATTTCCTGAAACTAGGAAATGATAGGTGGACGTTACTGTTTTAGTTAATAAAGTGTCAACAACAATTTCCAGTTGAAAACGAAAAGTCTCTTTTTCAAAAAAAAAAAGACATTAATTAATAAACATGTAAAATTCTGCTTGGGTTGAACTGTCAAATGTCTCCTCTTATATTACTTGTGTCAAAAATTGTTTATTTAATAAATGTTTTTCCTTTATTTTTCATCCCCGGAAAGTAAAATCATGCGGATACACAAAAATGATGTAACATTACTATTAAAATGACATACACTTCCCTATCACTTTTTTACCTTTTTGATGCCTATTGCAATAACAAACTTGGCTTTTTTAGGAAATAAAATGTGATTAACATTAATATTAGCGCACGCTCATTTTTAAACGAATGGAGGCTCACTTAAAAATATACCTTTGATTAACACATCGAGCACATTGAGAATAGTCTACGCGTTCGTAAGAACATCAACATCAAAGAGCAAATGAGGCTGATATTACAGCACTAAATTATCGTTTTTCTGAGTATAGACGGCATGAAGAGCTCTTGGTATGGACAATTTGACAAGCCCTTTGCAAAAGATAAACAAGTATATCTTTGGCCTTCTGTTGCAGAAAATTGTGGACATGATTTTTTTTGCATTTTGCCAAACCACACAAATGCAGTTTTTAATAACGTCGATTTCCTAGGAAAGCGATGATCAAAATTGACGTTGAATTATGAGTGCAAATGAATCGTTGCAAGAGATAAAGAAATAAATCTGGAAGAAAAAAAACTCACTCTGATTCCTCGATTTTTTAAAAATTATTTTGAGTAAAACTACAATCAGTTGTATTTTGTATTAAGGCTGAATAATTTTTACAGCGGATCAGAATAGAACTCACTGTTCATACAAGTACACCTGAGTGGATAGAAACTGTTATTAAAGTTTTCCTTTCAAGTTTATTTCTTTTCGTGAGTTTATTACATAAGGCTTTCTAAATTGAGGCTGAAAACTTTTATTATATTTCCGCACTTGTCTCATACTAACGTCATTCTTCTAAGACTCCTAACCGGCACATAATATAATGTTCGATAAAATAGTTTCTCCCTGCTCAATTATCGATGATATAAATCAAAGATATTTTTTCTTGTGTGTGAGTCAGTAGATGATGCCATTATAATAAAAAGTTGTCGATAATTGCAGCCTGTCAAGTATCTGAGCAAATTCAAGCGTTTGTCTTTAAAAATAACTTTTCCTTTTTTTCTGACAGGCATGATTTCGTGAACACGCTTTTTTCTTTTCTTTTTTTTGCTGACTTTATTTGTTATTCGTCCGTACGAAGTGTAGAATATTAACTCCATGTAAGGGGGTCGGCATATCAGGATGTCAGAGTTATGTTTTTAAATTGAAAAAATACGTCCTTGTCGCTTTCTTTTTAATGAAAGATGAATGTAAATTAAAAGGAAAATAATGTCAGTGATCAGTTCCTGCCTCACACACGCAACGAAAATGGAAACGCAAGAAGGCACACGTATGACCTTACTTGACACAAATCGAAACGCAAGGCCAAGCGCCGATGCAAGAAATAGAGAAATTTTCATTTTCTTTCGCGCGCTTGCATTTACTCATTTGTTTGCGCTTCACACGTGTGAACTGGGACAACGCAAATGCAAACGCAAGGTAAAAACTGCATGAACGTGTGAAAGTCCTTTGTGTTTGCACCTGCGTCGCACCTTTGAACCAGGCCCGTGATATAAGTTTTGAGAATCCACCTTATGCAGTCGAAAATGGTGACGATGAAATCATGTATGATGGAACTACAGGTGTACACGTATCTCAATGAAGACTTTTTTCTACTTACGTCAGAGTTAAGTAGCGAAACTCTTGCAAGGAACCTTGAGTACGAGCCGCGCAAAGCGCTTCTTTGTCGGAAGCCGTTTATCACTACTTACTTTCAAAAGCCCCTGGCACTGACTCCTTATAACAGATAATCACATAAGACCCTGCAGGCTACCGGCTAACGAGAGATGTTAGATGTATCATCGTTTCTGAAGATCTTGAGAAGGGGTGTCACTTTCCAGTCTTTAACGGAACAGAAGGAATTGAGGGTATATCTTCGGGTAGAATACACACAGCCGAGCGCGCAGTCTGGATACAAGTTAGTTTAAACAATTTCCCGGGTCTACTGAATTTCCTTTTTTGGGGGGTTTATTTGTTTATTTAAAAATACGTCGCGAACATATACGGTGCTTACCCTTGTGCATACTATTTTTTGATCCGGTATTTTCCAGTTGCATAATCCTTCTTCCAAAACTCGATAAATTTCCTCTTTTTTAGGTGAAAATCCCCAGCACGTGGAAAAAAAACATATTGGCAATGTTTTGATTTGCAATGTTTAAAAATCAATCTCATTTTAAGAGTGAATTGCACCGATAACATGTTTGATAAGGGGAAATATGCTGAAAAAGGCTTATCGCGCTTATTTGAGGTTGTGTTGATAAATATTTTGTCTCGCTTTTGGCTGTCTATACCCGATAAGGACTGGTTAAAACATAATTGTTCGACGCCATGTTGATCCAAAACGTTTTTCTCGTTATATTTTGTTGTTGTTGTTGTTATTTAATTCATTAGTTTTTTAATTTTTATTTTTAACAGTTTTAGAAACAATAATAATAATGATAATAATAATAATCATCATCATCATCATTATCACCATCTTCATCAACATCATCAATGGAAAAACAATGTTCCCATCACTGATGCCAGTCGCGTGCGAACTTTCTCATAAGACCGCAGAAAACGCATGATTTTAATCAAATCTTGAATAACATCACGACAACCTTCGCTTTGCAACAGCAAGTGGTAACGTTTGCGCATGCGTCAAACTTGCTGGGAAGCACTTGTTGACGGGAAATCGTAATGGCCGAAAGCCGTTCTGAAGCCCTTTCAAGGGAGATTTTTTTGCATACCCAATCGACAACAGACATGTCTTATAGATTGGATACTTTGGCTAAGCCATGTTGAAGTGTCATGTATGGGAGAAGGACCATTTAGGTTCTTAATTTTCGTCCATTTGGCTCCTCTGATGAAGCAGATAAAGCGTTCACGAGGTCGTTTGTTGTGATATGTTGATTTGTTGACATTCAAGCGGTCACGGATTTCTGGGTTATCGTCCACGATCTGCAGAGCTGCCTAACATTTAGGTAAGATATACCCCTTGATTTACTTTGTGAAATGTGGAGCAGCATCATCGAATGTTATGTGTTAAAATTATAGCAGCCTGAATTCAACGTAATTTATGTGACCCTGGTATTTTTGTAGTATTTGACCCTGACCGTACAGCGAGATCCAGTGATATATCCCACACAAGCGACTAAACAGGTTAAACTTCTCTTTCGGTCACTCCGTATTTTCACTTTTAATGGTTAATTCAAAGGGGGGAAGTTCGAGTATTTTGATACTATTTAGCGGCATGAAATCAACAAGCAAATTTCCTACTCTTACAAGTAAGGCCATAGTCGGATGTTTCCTTCCATTTTCGAAAATTTGCTTTTCTGGTTTACATTGGTGCTCTATGGCGATTACTTATTCTCAGAGATTAAGAGATCGAGGCGGTGGATTGTGAAATATTATTTGCTAAAACTTCGTTAAAGATGGACAAATTTTTCTTGTCCTTTTCAACCTTGTTTTTAGATTTTTCGTTAACATGTAAAAGTATATCCCAACAAAACTTATTTGTAAGAGCATTGTTTCGGAACACTCTTTCATTCTTGAATGTTTGATTTTGCATCCAAGGGGGGGAACACTGATGAATTTGCGTTTTAATAATCATGCACTGTAAGCTCTCAGATTCACTGACAAGAACCCTCACCATTTGGAAGATGATTTTATTCTGATAATTATTCAATGATGATTTGTTTATACATACAAAATTGGCGCCTAAAAGAATTGTAATGTTATGCTTAAAATGTTTACATAATGTCTTGAAACATAACTGAAATCAATATAAAATATGAAAATACACATATGTGCATTCTTTTCCCTGCCCTACTATAAAAGTGATTTAATAAGTGTGATTTAATGCATTTTCATATGACCATTACAATATTACTCCCACTTTGACACTAGCACAAGTTCAAGCGCAAAACAATTCTTGCCCTTGTTCACCTTTGCACTTGCTGGACTGCCATTCCTGTTTGAAGTACAGACAACACTGGACATGAAATCCCTGTATTTGATTCCTTACATTGGCATCCACATAAGAATTAGCTTCATCACATACAATGTATTTGTACGCTTACAAAAATCATAAATGTTATTATTCCTTTTCTATCCAAAAGATTTCTTTCCTTTTTGAATATAAATTCGTATCCATGACACTTGAGAAATCCTGAAAAAATATCTAAAGGGGTATCGCTAGTTGTGGGCAACAACTAAATGCCATAGGGGTAACTTTTCACTCTCCGATAGAAATAGATCTTTTGATACTCTGGGTCTCATATATTCA